CTTCCTTCCTTCCTTCCTTCCTTCCTTCCTTCCTTCCTTCCTTCCTTGTGACATTTTATACCAGATTGCACGTAGGAAGATATAAATTAAATTTCTCCATCTCTGTCGTAAGGATTTTGGATTCAGCCAACTCTCTTCCAGTGTCAACCTGTTTGAAAACTAAGTTTGCTCTAAGTTTACTCTTTTCTGGATTAGATTGGTAAGAACAGAGCACGTGTCTTTCAAAAGAAGGCAAGGAACTTCCCTTTTTAATTCAGCTTAAGGTCATTAAAACTTTTTTCTAACCTGCTTATCTTTTACAGTAGGTTGATTTCAAATATAATTACTTCTCTATTTTTCTTCCCTGTTTGATATATTTGTTTGCTGTGGCACTAATTCAATGTTTTCAAAGCCTCGTTCAACTAAGGTAGTATTATTCAGAGTGCAATTTTATAAATAACTAAAAAAAATGCAGTAGCTGGCTGTTATTGTACCTGTTGTTTTATGCTGTTAATGGGATTTCTATCACTGACATTGTGATGATTGCATTTGCTACTTTGAGAGGGCTAATTAGATAAGAAAGAAGAACAGAAACCAACAGCAAAGTTTCAGCATAAAGCTGCATGCCATCATTTCAGAAGCTGGCATATTTCGCCTCTGGCGACACTCTATAAGCCAGATGGCATCTACTTACATTTGCACAAGGTTTGCGAATTGGGACTGCAATAACTTGTACACAATGGCTCCTCCCCTTCCCTTTCTCCTTCCCCCTTCCTCCCTCCCTCCTTCCTTTTTTTCTCCTTCCCTCCCTCCTTCTTTCCTTCCTTCTTTCCTCCATCCCTCTCATCTTCCTTCCTCCTGTCCCTTCCTTTCTCCCCCCCTCCCTCATTCCTTCTTTCCTCCCTCCCTTTTTCCTCCTTCCCCTTCCTTCTTCCCTCCCTCCCTCTTTCCTCCCTCCCTCCTCCTCTTCCTTTCTCCTTCTCTCCTTCCTTTCTTCTTTCCTCCCTCCCTCCTTCCCCTTCCTTTCTCCCTCCCAACCATCTTCTGTGGTTTGTAATGATCAAAAATTCAGATGGTTGAACAACTAGACTCACATTTATGATAGTGTCCTGGGTTCATGTGATCTCATTTGTAACCTTCTGACAATGGGGAAGCCAGATTCCCCTAACCACCGTGTGACTAATTTAAGACCTGCAGTGATTCACTTAAAGACCGGGGTAAGGAAGGTCCTAAAACGAGGGAAAAACTCCCTTAACAAAATGTCTCGCTTAGCCACTAGAAATTTTTAAGCTCCGTGACGGTTGTACACCGAGGACCACCTGTCATTGAAATCTCTCTCTATATATATAAAAGCGAAAACCACTCAGGCATCATCACAAAATCTCCAGAACTGTAAAGCCTACAAACTTGAAATTTGGCACGTATGTTCCTCTTGGCTTCTAGGTGCTCACTAAGAAAGGATTTTTCGAAATGACCATCAGAGCATTAGTATTTCCTGTATTACTATTATTAACATGCTCTGATGCTAAGGAGTTCTACTCCCCCTCCCCACCTGAAAAAAGAAATCTCTTCCAAATGCAAAACACCAGCAGAGGAGAGGAGTTTTAGTTTCAGTTTCAGAGCACCAAGCAGCTTTAGTAAGGAACAGTTGAGCTAAGCCACGCCCAGGCTCCTTGCTAACTCCTTGCTCACACAGCAAATACTGTTTCAGTTTCCAAACAGCCCTCCACTCTCTCTCACACTGACAGGACGCTAGCCAGATGGATGCTGGTAGGCAGAGGCTGAATTTTTTCCCTTTATTTTCCTCCCCCAAAACTAAGCCCAATATATACACATTTTATGTTCGCAGTTATCATCTGTTTTGGAAAATGGGCGCATCGTCATTTACACCACCAGCCTCCGGGTGGTGAGAACCACTTTCGAAAGGTGCGAATTAGTTCGGAAGATCTTCCAAAATCACCGTGTGAAATTTGAAGAGAAAAACATTGCATTGAATGGAGACTATGGGAAGGAACTGGGCGAGAGGTGCCGGAAGGTGGGAGAAGCTCCCTTGGTCCCCGTTGCCTTCATTGAAGGCCAGTATCTGGGGGTAAGTAAGTGCCTTCTTGAGGAATTGAGAAGATTATGCATGTCTTTCTTCTTCTTCTTCTTCTTCTTCTTCTTCTTCTTCTTCTTCTTCTT